AAATCAACATGACATTTATTAAACTTAACGTAAGATAATGTAATGTAAATAAAAAAGAAGTGGTGCTCATTTCTGTGGAACCTACAGAAAAATACAGGACCTGTCCCAAGCGGCATTTTACTACGAGGTATAACATCCATGCAGCACTCAACTAATGAGTTTTTAGTATATACCATATTAGAAATATTTTTTATTAATTTTTTTTCATTTTATACTACTTTTCATTGTTATAGTTATAAATATTCTTAAAAGTTATCACGTGGATGTATTCTCATTTCTGTCAATTAGAAAATTATTGAAGTATAAAATTTATTGCATAATAAAACAAAGATTTAGTTATTGAGACGTTCGTTTTTTCTTTCGACGTTCGTTTCTGATAGTGAAAGTCGCTCTTAGCTTTTAGGCAAATACAGTCACAGCTACCCTGTTCGTAATGTATAAACAGGCTTCATGAATTTTTTATGCCACTTAAGGAATGTCCGGTCTGTGGGTTCTTTTGTTTGATATTTCCTACGAAATCTATGTTGTAACACCACTACTCATTCAAGTTGAGAAATTATAAGAAGTAAGTTAGTTTCGCTAGAGTATGGTATAATAGCTTTATATTCCCTTCCTAATGTTATAATTGCTAGAAATCAGAAACAGGCTTTCTTCACGAAACACTTAAGAAATAAACATTAAATTCTGGTACTGACACTAGACTAGTCAACTGTTGGAAGATAAAAATTAACTTAACCCAAAGAATTTCGAGGAAGTTGAAATTCCAATTAATATTTTTTTAAATCGGTTTGTTTTTAATCCATTACAAAGAAGTCAATTATTTCTGGTTTTAACATAGAAATAAATCACAATGCATACTGTTTACTAGTTCTTCAGTCTTTACTTTCTGTGTTTTTAAAGATATATATTGGTTGGTTCATTTGATAATTGTTTATGGTAAGACGTGTAAGAGCTTAAGAGAAATGGATTCGTAGAATATTTTCTAAAGGAAACTGCATCTATTTATATCATCTATTAAAAGAAATCGGCAGATGTACTAGAATTTAAATTTATGGAAATGTATGCTTGAAATATATGTCACCTGAATATGCAAAGGATTACGTTATTTGGATAAATAGAATATAAGTATACCTATCCCTCGATTTACATGGTACTCGTTTTACACGGTTTAAAAATTAACCGAAATCAAGCACTTGGTAAAAATGTATATTCGGCTGCATATATGCAAATACATATATCTGAAGTCAATTTTAATCTCATTCCTTTGGTAACACTGGTGGCAACAACAAGGATGGGGATTCCCCGTGTTGTAAAAGGGGAATCCCCGTAGTGTGTATATGTATTTTATAGTAACAGTAAATCTGTTTGGTTCATGTGAAACTAGAGCAGTATCAGTATTGTTGCCTGCGTACGGGTTTGTAATGGATTGAATGCATAAGCACGTCTAACACACAAGAATGCTCATCTAACACACAAGTCGATAAGAAGTTAATAAATTTTATTATTATTCCAAGAATAAATACGAAATGCTTAAATTTCCTCAGAGATATTCGTACAATATCGCAATATCTCACAGTAGTTAAATTTTAAACTACTAAAACGTTCAATAGAACTCAGTTCAAAACAGAGAAAGCTAATCCGATTTCACGGCCAATTCGCTACAGTCAGCAACAAGAACTAAGTAAGAAACTGAAATGAGATGTTTTCCTCCAGCTTTTATAAGCTTTTTAATCTTGCACGAGAACATTCTGATATAACTCGATTTTTCTGGATAACAAAAGAGTACAATTACAAGATATCTATTTATTAAATGCGCGTGCTCCTTTATTTTAATTTTTCTGACGTAGCTTTCTCATCAAATACGTCTCGTGCTGCATTGCACGGGAATATAAAACAATTTTAATTACAAATTCTACTAAAAAATAGTTAAATAAATACAAAATTCGTAACACTGCCCCCTTCCCAAGGATTGCACGTTCTGGGTAGTACAATCTCTGGACAGGAAGCTAAACTTACAACTAAGGTATCATTGAAATAATAAACATTTGATTACAAACAACATAAACAATAATTGCAATAAGTAATAAATCAAATACTAAATACAAATCAAATCAAATACAAATGGAAATCATGGGTCCTTTTCGTGGTTTCACCCATATGTTACGTAAATACGAGAAAATTTCCAATGGAAAATTATCCACGAAAGCACCTCTGTAGTCCTAGATAGTCCTCATATGGGGGTCTAGTCTGGACACCGGTCGAGATCGATTTCGGAAAACCAGTCGGGATTCTCCTTCCACTCGACAGCAGAAGGGAGAGCGAGTCTGGCGCCTTCAAATTCCGTAGGCGGAAAGTGGAAATTCCTTGCAGAAGTGACGTTTATTGCATAGCAACCACTCTATCTCACCTCTACATTGCTCAAGGCTCAGGGGAAGGGGGTAGTTTGTTGTCAAAGGGACTGTTTCGCACGTGCTTATTACTGAGGATTGCGGTAGAAAAAAAATCGAGTTCGAGTAAATGGTGAAATTTTTCGAAAAAATACGCTGCTGGATTTAGTAAAGAATATGGAAAAAAGAAATGGGGAACGTTAATGGATATTTTAAACGCAGAAAGAAATGGCCTTTTCAAAACTTCAGGTATGTGAAGAAACGTAAACATAATTTTACGTATGATCTTTTGCAAAATGGAAATTTTCTAAAAGGTTACATGTTTGTAAACTATTTGTTAACAGGAATTTTATGATTAAAATGCATTATTTTGTCTGGAAAGGTTATGCAACAACGTCATAAGTCAAATCATTGAAATATAGCACCGCGTACGCGTGTTTAATATTCCTAATGAATTTGAATCAAAAATATTTTTTATTTTTAGCAACCCATGATTATATCAATAATTTTATTTATTCAGGAATTATACCTATCACTTAGCTACAAATATACTATGTATCGTAGATACCAATAAGCAGTGAGTAAAAATATAACAAACATTTAACAAAAGTAATAGGAAGAAAAATAAAAAAAAATAAATAACTATAGGTTAAATCATAAAACATATTATTTTGCACACACACACACCCATATATATATATTTTAACATATGTAGTGAAAGGAAATTGCAATACATATTCCTATTTATACCCTTTTTAAATCGATCCCATCAGTGACCGTGTGATAAAAATCGCTGAACACTGGTAGTTCGGTCCGAGGTCCGAATACTGCGAACGGGTTTGTTGCATTACCAACATATCTCTGATAATCAATATATTTGTCATTACCAACATATTTCTCGTAATTTCCAAAAGCATAAAAAACTAAGGCATACAAAACCTGTTTTAAATAAATAACTATATGTATATATTAATATATGCAGTGAAAGGAAATTGCAGTGCATATTCCTATTTATGCCCTTTTTAAGTCGATCCCACTAGTTGCCGAGTGGTAAAATCTCCGAACACTGGTAGTGCTGTCCGAGGTTCGAATCCCGCGAACGGGCTGGACGCATGGGCGTCATTACCAATGCATCTGTCATTACCAGACAGATATATCATTGGTAACATCCAGAAGCATGGAAGTTTAAGGCACAGAAAATCTGTTTTAAATATATATATATATATATATGTAACTGTAAAATATATGAACAGAGACAGTGAAAGAAATTGCAGTACATATATATTTATACCCTTTTTAAATCGATCCCATCAGCGGCCGGTAAAATCGCTGAACACTAGAAGTTCGATCCAAGGTTGGAATCCCGCGAACGGGCTGGTTGCATGGACGTTTTCGTGGTATTCCCCGTGTGTTAGGTGTATACGAGCTAGTTTCCCTTAGAATGTCCTCCACGAAGGCAACCCTCACTTTAGGCAGATAGCCCTCGAGGCTTTGCCGTAATTACATAAAACCAAAACTAAGCACTTTTTATATCTGAATAAATATACACAAAACTGATGTAATATCTAAAAGTAGACCACATTAAATAATATAATAACTAATTATAAATCTTGCATTATAATATTGACAAGAATTTAACCGAAAATTGTACAGGAATTTAACTTGTTTTATACAGGAGATTCTAGAAAATATTGGAAATTGACATTGATATCGGTACAGTTAAAACTACTCAAATAAATTTTTTAACTCAAAGAAATTTAATGTAAATGTTGAATTATATACTGCATATTCTTTAATGCATGTCTAATGTATTACATTTTTATACACTACAAATTCAAATAAAAGTAGAGGGAAATACATTATAATTTAAAACATAAAAATTTCAAAATTTATAAATTACTCATCAAACATGAAATGAAATTAAGTACATTGATATATACATTAGTTTAAAAATTACAATTTTAATTTAAAAGTATGGACTCCTTCTTTATATGTGAAATAGGAAAACACCAAATATATTATTTTCACTAAAATTTAATTAAGGCATTGGTAATGTAGAATAAATAAATAATGTAGAATCGTCAGCATCAAATGCGTTATTTCTATAGCGAAATACTCGAGTTTTTCCCAAATCAATATAATTAAAATAGCTATTACGTACACTTTCAAAAACAATCCGTGACCTCCGCCGTCCTCAGTTTAGCTCTAAAACGACAGTCAGAAACTTAAACGGCAGCGGTCCAGCTGACGGAAAAATTTCCGATGCGTCGATCTCTGTAATGATCGAGACGATGACACCAGACTTGCTCTCGGTCGAGTAGATGGCAAAAAACGACCCGTTCTTCTATCTCGACGGTGTCCAGACTAGGGCCCATGCCGTATCCAAATAATCTAACCTACCCTAGCCCGTTCTTCGCTGCTAATACTAAATTTTCATCCTTCAGGATAAAAGATCCAGATAATGCAAAACAAAGTATTTCGTATTTACATGCCAAAATTTTTTACCGCATAGCATGTAAGTTATTTCATTTATTTATAACATACTTCATTTGTTTATCGTGTCATTATTTTTTGTAATAATTTCAGTATAGCTTCTTATTATTTATCAATTTTATAAGTGCAATCTGAGTCTCACTAGCCAAATTACTTTCATTGGTACAATTTTAATCTAAATTATGCAAAACTATTAGATTATTGCGATCGAAAAATATGTTCAGGGTATTGATTAATCTTCAACTTGAAGTGTTGCTGCCGACTTCTGAGGTAATATTTATTCGATAACTGTTACTTGGTTAATAAGAACGCGGTGGTTTGTTTGTTTTTCAGACTTTTAACGTTTTCATGCATTGTTAAGCAATGTTTTCGTAATTGGTGTTTGGTGAAGTTTGTGATTGTTGATATCAAAGTCTAGCGTATGGTTACGGAAACAATGCCTTATGTTATTTTGTGTTGCTGCAGTATATTTTACTTTAGATGACGAATAATTAATAGAAAAATGAAAATGAAAGTTATTTTATAAGCGAACTATTGTAGAAAACGATGATTTATGAAATAATGACGTTTTATTGAACAGATAAATTGTTTTTCTGTAAAAATATACTTACGGGTGCTGCTTGGCGGTATATGGACAAGAAGTTTATGCAGTTCTTTGACTTGTTATTTTGGCTCTACCCAAGACCACACCTAGCAAGTCAAAGAATTGCACAAACTCAGTGTCCATGTACACATCAATCTTTTTTCACTTACAAAAAATTGGAGAATTGCACAAACTCCCCATTGTGCACTCCCATGACTTTGTCCATGTGCACATCAATCTATTTTCACTTAAAAAATAGTCAGGAGAATGATGACGTCATATAATGTTAAAACAAAGTTTCTCATCACCAGATTTGAAAAAATTTGCAACCAATCGAGGCTCAATAAACTGCATAATCACCGCTACACAAAGTCAAAGAATTGCACAAACTCGGTATCCATGTACACACTGACTTTATAATCTCAATAAACTTCATTTTATTGAGATTATAAAGTCAACAATAAAATAACATAAAAAAGGAAATTCATCTTTGCACTACACAAAGGAAATATCCACTTGCCTTATTTAAAAATTTCCCTGTCTTCAGTCAAACAAAATTCCTTAACAGCATCCAAAAACTCCCTGAAATTATTTGAACTAGAATCTGTATACAGGTTCCATATAAATTCACAAAAATAAGAGTAAAAAATATCCTCCGATGCTCGACCATATGCATTTCCTTCCTACAGACAAGACACTTATAATGGCTACTAAGTAAACCTTCATTTACACACCAATCAATTAATACTTTTTTCCCTTTCCTTCCAAATTGTAAAGAAACTTCAAATTAATCTTACCACATTCAGCCATTTTACCATGTAAACCAAAAAATAACCATCGTACTTCCTATGCAGCGTCTAACACACAAACAAGCCCTTAATTTTTTCCCATCATTCAAATTCACCGCAATCATGCTACCAATTACATCATAATAGAGTTTCCATAGCATTTAACTACTCAGGTTACCATAAATGAAACAATGACTTGGCGATAAATGAAACAATTTAGCGATAATCCAAGGAGCACCTTTAAATGTAAGTCGTTTTTCTTTGGTAAGAAAGCATCGAATTTCATCCCTTGAGGTATTCTCGGGGTTTATCCCAAGGGATGTATTAATTTTAAGTGCTTATGCTGTTATGCATTTTTAATTAATGGAAAACCTTTTTAGAAGACAATATATAACAATATTTATTTTAAAGGAATGTTCTGATATATGAAGAACCAATTTAAGTGTATTTTATTCAAAATGGATACAAAAAGCGGGGAGGCTGCTACAGTGGATATTGTAATTGAAGAATTGACCAGATTTTTTTTTTTTGTTGTTGTTGTTGTTGTTGTTGTTCTGTCTTGTGTATAGCGATTATATTTTAATTTAATATCAAAGTTTCTTTTTATTTAATGTATTTTCACTTCATCAAAAGTAGCTAACTATGCCCTTGAATAACTAAAATTAGTGTGTCAAATTCAAGACTAAATATCACATTAACTTTATGATTTTTTGTTATCTTTACAGTTGTAAATAAAATTTATAATTAAATGTTATGTATAAAATGTGAAATGCAGTGTCAATATAATTCTTTGTTGGGATCATTATATTTAAAAAACTCATAAATTAATAACATTTAAATCAGTTAAATATGTTTTCACAATTTTGTTTTATTTTCCCCTCATCGACCATCAATAGTGTTAGGAAGTGGTTGCTTGCCATTTTGAGTGAATCACTTATTTACATAAAAATTTTCGGTACTTTTCCGTTTTGCCGCCGCAGGCAATAAAGTCGCCAGTAATGGTACAACTGATGCCAAACTGAATATCCTTGATGGTAACCTTTTACTCCTCATTTTCAAAACAAGTCGAAGCCATTTCTTATCAGATTGATTGTTTCTTTCAATACTGGCATAAAATTACATAGAATTTTTACCAGATAGTTAAATTTTATGCTCTAAGGCCATTCGCGGTAATTAGTCAATTAGGATGCAATCACACCGTTTACCCGAAGCCGAAAATATAGAAAAGGCAAAGTCAAGAGTTAAATTCATCAATTCTAATGAGAATGCATTAGCGAAGTAAAGAACTACTTATGCTGTTATGCATTTTTAATTAATGGAAATTTTTCTGAGTAAGCTATTCGTATGAATGGAAATAATTCTTGCATTTAAACTTGTATTCCAAATTAACATTTAACTTGAAATTAATGTAGATAATTACTGAGAGAATTAGATTTTTATAGCGTTGTTTACGTGAGATGAGATCACTCTGGGTCCCGTGATATGAACCGGCGAATCAGGATGTTGAACCATGAAAGCATAGTTAATTCTTAAATTAATGTCTTTTTACAAATTTATTGTCTTTATTTATCGGCTTTTTACAAAATTTTAAATGATATTAAAATTTTTATGCCTTCAATATAAAAAAATTCTTAGAACTAACATTTTTTAATATTTTTTATGTGTATATTGTATGTTTTCGGCAATAAAGTCTGCTTGGCGAGATTTGCGTGGGCGAAATGAAAAAGTATCCATTTTTCTACACATGTGCATTCTTACAGTATATAGTACCCACTGAGCAAATTTGAACTAATGCGGTCAAGCCCATATATTTCTGTCCTAGAGGTGAAATTAAAAATTTTCTTTCAGCCGTCAAACTTGTGCAAACGTGAGAATTTTCAATAAAACCTACATAATTGTACTTTGCTTATATTGGAGGCCACAAGTTGCCACTGATGTTAGAAGTAATTATTATGGCACAAAATATCTTGTCTTCTTCTAGTGAGGTCCAGAGAAGCTAAAAGGTTGGTCACCTCTGGTTTTTGCACATCCTGAAAATTTAGCATCTTTTACTCAAGTGATTGTACTAATAAATAAGCAATTTTTGTCCATATGGTTATACTCCACATGAAAGAGATGTACTGACCTTTATTCAGATCAATACATTATATATGATATGTAGAGATGAAAGAAAAATACTAGATATTTTTCCCTAAGCAGGAAGCAAATGTTGCCAACAGTGGATTTGTGTTTTTCATTTTGGTAATGACACATTATGCCATCCTTGGTTAAAGAACTGAAATGCCTGCATCAGTAATGAAAATGCAAACACCTTTTAAAAATAAAGTAAAAATAAATTTTATTTATTTAATTTAAAGTGAAAAAAAGAAAAGAAACAACTGATATACTGAGAATACCCTGAATCAAAAATATTTCATATAAACACCAAAGCAGCATTTTTATTAACACACAGATATAGGTGGGAAAAACTACTTGCCTAAAAGTGAAGCACCCGAAAATATATTGCAAAAATTCTGAAACATCAAACTAAGCCTTATATTAAAACCAGAATTTTGTTTCAACTAATATGCCCATTCAGGTTTAAATTATTTTAGATATTCAAATAAAATCTGTTTTTATTTTAGAGTGCTTTTTGTACAAAGATGAAGATTAGAGAATGTTTGACCAGTTATTCATTATTTAATTATTTAATAATTTAATTTGGTTTAAAGTTTTACATGTTTGTTAAAGCCTTTAATCCATACTGATTTCTTCTTCCTTCTTACTCCTCCCTCAAAAAAGCAACTGAAAATCTTGGAAGATAAGTTACTAGATTGATAGTCATTCTTCACACTTATTTGCATTTGCAATGACATTTCATAGATATTTGTTATGTCAAATAAACAAGTTACCACATTCGGCATTTTGACATACAATTATATTTGGCCTTCCAATAGTCAAAAAGTACCTATTAAATTTCATGGTAGTTAACACCTATTTTAATTATTTTTAATTATTTTTATATTATAATGAGTTTCTTAAAAGATTATAAAATTTTACATCTTGAAGATATGTTTAGAGAAGCTGATGGAGCAAACATTCATTTGTGGGTGCATTTTTATTGACATTAATTTTATAATTATATCAGAATTTGTAGAAAAAATAACAGTCACGGAATATGTGCATTAACATTCATAGACATGCTGAGGAATACTACACAAGGGTCACTCTGTAATTTTTTAGATACACGTAGTTTTTAAAGTTATACGTATGAAATTTTAGGAGTGTTTAAAGTAGTCTCCCCCAGTATCTATCCACATCTTTTGGTGAAGTTTCCAAAGATTAAATACATCAAGCTATTCATTTCTTGGTTTCGATGAAAAAATGCATTTATGGCTTCATCAGTCTCGGCTTCGGAATGAAAATGTCCACGTAAGTTCTTTTTTTAAATTAAAAAATAGCCAAAAGTCACACATAGGTAGATTGGGTGAATACAGTGGCAGAAACTCAACTGCCAATCTTGCTGAATGAGAAGACGCATTGTCATGCTAGAGCATGAGTCTTGTAACATTCACTTCTTGAAAAATTTCTGGAAGACACTTAGTGGTGTATCAGTTAGCTGTGACTGTCTTCTGTCCTTTCAGCTTGATAGCTTTGACCAATCCTGTACTTCTGAAGAAAAGAGCATGCATTACTTTTTTTCATGGCATGTGGTCTTTTTACCATTCTGGGCATCATGTGTTCAAACATCAAAAAATAGTATGTATATTTCATCACCAGTTACAGTTTTAAAAATAATGTAGTGGCCACAATCTTTAAGTAATTTTAAGGGTTCCTGATTCTGACATGCTTCTCTTTTAGGTACTCAATTAAATTATGGGAAGCTCAATGATAAACTAGTTTTTTCATATGCAATTCTTCATGAATAATTTTATGTACGTCAGTGGATCCAGTGTTAAGCTCATTTGGTAGGTGCAACGATTATCATCAATTAGCATTTTCTACGTGGCAGACACATTATCTGGTATTACTGCTGACAACAGCCTTCCTGTATGTTGTTCATCCTGAAGAGAGTTGGAACCTCTGTGAAATTCTGTAAACCATCTGAATACTGTTGCACAGGATAGACCTTCATTTTCAAATTCTCATTTCAGACATTGAATAAATTCTTCTTGATTTAATTCCACTTTAAAATCAAAGTGCGGTAATGTTCTTGCATCAACTCCATTTTTCTTTCTGCGCAAAATTTATTCTATCCTAAACTACTTACTGTTAGCCAATAAAAAATCATCTGCCTAAGCTAAAATAGGTCATATATTCAAATCTAATTGTTAATTTTTTTCTGCCACTTATCAACTGGGAATATCTAAAAACATTTTCCGTGTAGTGACCTCCATGTAGGTAACATATGTGGCAGAAAAATTTTTCATACACCATTACAAAAGTGCAAATATTTTTAAACTTGCCTTGTAATTTTATACTTTTATGCCATGTAATTTTCCTGCTTTGAATTTTCAATTGAATATTTTAATTATTATTACTATTATCTTTTTTGTTGTTGTTTTTTAGTTGCAGATAGATGTTTGGCTAATAATGTTACCATTAGAGAAAATATGTCTACAAGTGTTTCTTCAAAGAAGTTATTCTGTTCCGGTAATATTATTATGTTTAATGTATATTATGTAAAATATCCATAGTTTTATGTAAATTACTGATAATTATGGCCATGTGTATCTGCAAATAGAACACTTGCCTCCCACAATCGGGTAATTTGTATTTTGTATTAATGTACGTATTTTTGGTGTTGTGGTAGGGGAGATGGCTGCCATAACCTTGGTTTTGAGTTCAAATTTTACGGAATTCATTGATGTTTGTAAGTGTGTAATCTCTTTGAAGCGTAGGGGCACTTAAAATATCTGAATGTATTCTGCCAAAAATCATTCTTAATAAAGTTAGGAGGGGGAAAAAATGAAACCAGTGCCTTTAGTGCAGGTAGTAATCACCACCCAAATCTGTAATTTTCTGCCAACATTCTAGTAGTTTTTCAAGGCCTTTGCCCAGAAACTTGGTGACAGCGAGTGCAAAAACAGATCAACCTCATTTCGAACATCCTGCGCAGAATGAAAAATAGCACCACCAAGATGTAGCTGCAGGTGGGAAAAAAGGTAGACATCTGAAGCAGTTAGTTTGGAGCTATATGGTGGATAAAGCAAAAGTTGAGTTTATACAGAGTCAAGCTGATGAATGCAGACACATGTGATCTTGCGTTATCTTGATGGCATATGACCTTTTTGTACCGGAATGCAGTTTAACGTTTTTCCGTGATAGCAACATTAACGTGGCAGAATTGCCAACTTTCCCAATTTAGGCAGGAGATTCCTGATTTCTGACTGTTCTCCCACCAACCCAATTTACAACCTATTTCTTCCAACTTTCTGTTTTTCTTAAAATTTATCACGATTTTTATGTAGCTTGGCTTAATACTTTATTATTTGCATACACACCAAAAAAAAAAAAAAAAAAAAAAAAAAGTGATTTTGAGCATTTGAAAGCACTTAGTTTTTCTCTACATTACATATAAAAGAAAACCAAAGTAGTTTCATGAGTGAGAATTTATGGCGCTCTTCTGCTTAATGAGTGAGAGCACGTGTTCGAAAACATCGTGTCCCAGTTCTCCAATGAGCTTAGAGTGCCACTGCATGTCACCTGGCGTATATTAGCTAGTGAGCACAAAGCAAGATCAAGGTTGTTATTTTGCTCATCTTGTCTTTGAGCGGTGTGAATGCATGTCCTTGCAAGAAATAGTTTAAGAAATTACGATCTTTTGTTTTAGTTATGGGTACGAAAAAGGTGAAATGCTCATGTATTTTACAAAAATCGTACACAGATGACTTTCCTTCTGCTATTTCCACAAGGAAATTTAATAGATTTGTGATGTGTACTGTTTGTCATTGCAATTTTTCGATTGCGTAAGGTGGAAGGGCTGATGCTCTCAAACATGTGCGTTTACAAAAGCACAAGGACAACATGAGTTCTGTTGAAGAAAACAAAAAATTCTCGTGTGAAAACAAAGAGTCAGAAAGTTAATGGAGAATGTCTTTTTTCTGCATTTTTAGTGGAGCACAACCTGCCACTGAATGCATTGGATCATGCTACAGCTTTATTTAAAAAATGTTTTCCAATAGCCAAATCGCTAAGAAATATTCAAGTACAAGGGTCAAAATGGCTGCAGTTGTTAAAGAAATAGGTATGAAAAATAAATCTTCTGTTATTGATTGCATTAAAACAGTTCCATTCTACTCCTCTATGGATGGAAGCAATAATACTGATTAAAAACTGTATTCAATTGTTTCTTTTTTTATCTAGCGTCTTCAGAAAAAGGGTGTAGTTTACTTTCTGATCCCACTTTAGAAGGGCATTAAACTTAATATAGTACAGCTAATTATTAAAACTTTAAAAAATAATGTGATTCCTCTGGATAATTGCTTAGCACATGGTGCCGATAATGCACCAGTAATGGTAAGCTTGAAGACTGGTGTTTGCAGGCATCTTAAAAAAAAGCAAATTCAGATTTTCAAATTATGAGGTGCACTGTCACCTCTTAAATTTAGTAGATTTCCAATCATTGATTGTTATGACCATTAATTTAATGTTTTGCAATCAGTGATTTATGATCTGTTTAAAGGTATTTTATCAAAGTTTGTAAAAACTAACCTTTGTTTTGTCTTCTAATTCTCCATATGATATTATTTATGGTGAAACAGAAAATCAGAAGAAAGATGAAGATTTGGTAATAGTGGTTGCAACTAAAAAAGTAGTGGAAGACCTTTCAAAGAAACACAAAAATGAATTTTATTTCCACATTAGAAGCTGCTTCTGCCAAGTATGTGGTTACATACTTAAAAAATTTCTACTCAGCGATGAAGTAATTTTATATGCTAAAGTTGAAGATGTTTATGCTGTAGTGAATTCATCTTTTTGTGATGCAAAATATTTTTTTTAATATATTTCAAGTTTTACTTCATTTAATCATGAAAGACATTGATATAGCAACTGATAAATTACAGTTGCAGTTTTACAATTTACAATTAGGAAACTTGGATAAAGTTATAAAACCAAACTAGTATTGATACCCAGTGGAGTTTATTTGCAAAACTGAAAGGTGCTGATAGAATTTAAATTATAGTGAACTGTCTAGAATAACGTTGGCCAATTTTTGCCTATAGTATAAATTCCCTATAGTAATGCATAAATATTATTCCTATTAATGAAATAAAAATCTGTCATTGTTATAGCATTTGTACGAAAACTGATTAAAGTATTTTTTTTCCAAAGATGCAAATAATAACAATGTTTTTTTACTAGTAAGTATTTTTTTACTATTTGCATTTAAGAACTAGTAATTGAACTTTCAGATATTAATTAGTAAGTATTTAAAGTTAATTCAGTAGTAAAAAAATATTTTTTTTTATCATTTAAAAAAAATCTTTCTGTCGTTGAGGAAAATATCCTGATTTTTAAGTGCTTGTCGGTTGGCAAGTATGAACATGGACTAGTATCTCGCTGTTCACCTTACTGTCGAGGGTTTTATCTTTTTCCAGGTATTTGCGAATAATACCACAGCAATCCCACGAGACACAAAACATGATCTTTTTGTTAATCATGTTGCTCTTTATGACACTGACGATGGACTCCGCGGGTGCAGAAATACCGCTTTTTCCGCCTGTGTTGTTGAAGTAAATCCATTTTTCATCACAAGTGATGAAAAACGGATTTACTTCAACAACACAGATGATCCAGTCCAGAATTTTGTCTTTGCAATCATCTTCTAGTTCAGGCCCGAACACTTCTGTCCTTATCTGTTTGAGTCAGCTCATACTGCACCCAGCAATTGAACTGGGATCAATCAAATTGTATGTCAAGTTTATGCGATGCCTAGCATGACTAATGGTCATGGCATTAATGACTAACTCCTTAGCAAGCTCTTGAGGGATTTCATACTGATCTTCCACAAGTTCTCGCAGGCAGGCCTCATCAACATCAGTGGCCAGAGTGCTCTGCTTCTTGATTGTTGTAGTCCTTGTTTTTTAACTTTAAATACTAAACCTTCACAATGTCATATAATACAATATTAGTAACTAAAGCTGTACGCATGGTTTGATGGCATTCTGTCACTGACATTTTGCAACAGAACTGGAAGTAAACGATATTTCCATTTCAGACACCTTGCACTTAATGATAATGATATTTTTATACTAATTCCACAACACAATGTTCTAAAGCAGGTCTCTTTCGAATGCCAAAAATCATTTGACAAACCATGTTTAAACATGCCTAGCGCAAACTGTTTGCGCACACAATATTGGTGGTAATGGAAAAATTTCGCTAAAACCTGATAGTATCAGCAAGTGTTCTAAAAGGGTTGGTATCTTTTATTAAATGTTCTTTCTTTAACTGTGTAAGACTAACTGTATGCATATTAGAACATTCTGTACTATTTAATAATATTTGGCAATTTGGTTGTGGGGACCGGATTCAGTCATCGCCCAAAGCTGATGATCTGATAAAAAATCTGAAGATTAAAAATAATCTCCAAAATATTTATGATAGGGTTAAGTGCAAGAAAAATACAATGGAAAAAATGACAGATATTCATAAAATTAAAAATTTTTAATGTAAATTAAACAGCTTGCCATAAACATGTCAATTTTGCTGTGTATTGAAAATGGGAAACCGGAAAGTAACAGTCTTGGAACAGATTACTTGTAGGTATTTAACATAATTCTCATGAATTCCTATAATGTATGCTTAGTTTTAGATGTAAACAAATGAAATTTCAATTTGCAGAATGTTCAGTATAGCAAAATTTAAGTCTCCCTTCCTCCGTTATATGTACAAGCAAATAAACTTTAAATAAAAAAACTCTAAATTTATAACACATTTTAATTAAAGAAATGAATTAATTTTATTATTGAAGTTATTTAGTGTTTTTAGTACTTGCATATTTGTGCAATCACCCTTGTGCAGTTTGGCAATTTTTTTACAGAAAAAAAGAATGAGGAGTTATAACTGAAAAAAAATATTATTAAGTATATACATATTATTATATATTGTTATTATGCACTTTATAATTTATGCAAAGAATCAATAAATAAACTTACTTAATGCTTTTATTCTCCTCTCTCTCCTGGTAAAATTTTGTGGCAGTCACTTTAAGATTAGACTCAAAGCAATTGTTCCATTTAGCAATTTTTTTGGGAGGTGGGAAAGGAGAATTACTGTACTTTTGCAGATATTATACCACAGATTTTTCTCACACCAGGCAAATTTCACAAGTGCATATTTTAAACTGAGTTTAAGACAAAATATATCATTACTTTTTTTATGAAAACCATTCAGATACAACAAAAAGAACACAAATAAACATGGCAACACTGCTTACAAAAACTCATGAGCTATTATGCACATGGTGTTTTGAAGAATTGTAGTGTATACAGTAGCCAAAATTTGGTTGCAGTCTGAAGATTTGGCAGCTTCTACTAAAGGGTAATAATATATCTTGGGCATTCTATCTGAACTAATAATGTAAATATCATATTTCTTTGCATGTGTCGGTGCTGTTTTAGTAGAAAACATAGATCAGGAATCTTTGCAAATTTTGGTACTTTTCTTTTATTGGGGTGCCAGTCATTAAATATATGCCAAAGAGCCAATATGGTAGCCTGTTTATATCAAATATAAATTGTAAATAGCTGCACAATGGTGTTATTGTAAATAAGTGAGAAGAGTGAATATCAATTTGGAAGTTTTCTCTGCTGTATTGTTAAGCAGATGAATTGACAGCTGTTGAACATGAGCACTTGTAAGTTAACCACAGATGCAACGTTATTGATTCTGGCATGAAATACCATGTGCAAAATGCTGAAATAAGTATCAGTATGGCACTGGCCACTGCCATTTATGTTCCTACCATAACAAATTCTTATGGTAGAGATTGTACGTAAAGGTACAAATGTTTTCAGCAATGTTAAACGAAATAAGCAGTTTTATACTTCCTGTTTAATCTGAAATTAATCTGCTAAGAGATCTGTTTTGTATGCATTCTGGATTTCATAAATAGTTTTTCTTTTCCTGAAGCTTTACATACCATTAGGGTTGTCACCATTTAGTTAGATTTTGTGCCAAAGTATTATGTTTGACACTAAATGTCACCCCATTAATAGAAAAGTACCAAATCAATTTTGAATATATGTCTTTAATTTTTACTAAGAATTTGTTTTCCACTGTTTTTCGGAAGTTGTTCTAACTTAAATGCATTCTGTACCTGGTTTGTTTGCATAGGTCACAATAAGCAAACTTGTTTCATCAGGAGGAATAAATTCTTAAATGTAGAGGTTTTTTTTTTTTTTTTTTTTTTTTTTTTTTTTTTCCTTTAAACATTAAGAAATGGAAAATATGATGAGAAAGAGGAGTGCTGAAAACTATGCAATTTTTTAAAATTAATCCAGAATTTAAATAGTTCTGTTTTTTTATTAATGGCTTCAGATTATTTATCCAGTTATTTATGTGCAGACTGACAAAAGAGGCATACAGATTCAGTTAAGATGAAACATTACTATGAGAGATTTTGTGATGTTTATATTTATTTTATCTTCCCTCATTTAAAGCATAAAAAGTTTCTAGCATATGTAAAATACTTCGATGTAATTTTGTAGAAAGTTCTTTACCATTCTGAAAAAAATTCTATATTATTTATCTCTTTTCTGTTTTGTTATTTCTTTTTTATACATATTACACATTTATTTTCCAAGTTGTGTTAAAAATATATAATTTTTGTATTCAATATATCCCGTCTAAATAATTGATATGTATGGAGTATGTTTTCTGGAGTTATTTAGATGCCAGCAATCCAAATTTAGTATAAAAATTAGAAAGGAAAATTTTTTAACAAAACTCAAAGACATGATGTATAATCTACTTTATCTACAGGATTGTGATGGTGAACGTGTGTGATACATCATAAGCAATATATGTGTATTAGATGATCACATGTATGATCACCTAATCCACACATATTGCCCATGATGTGTTGATTATGCAAATTTTATTGTATCGTATATTATATTAGGTGCTTACACATTAGCACAACCACCTTAGTGCAGTTTGGCAGTTTTCTGCAGAAATGAATAATGATTTAAAAATTATTTATTACATACATGTTATTATTATTATTCATATTATAATTTACCCTGAAAATCAATTAGTAAACCTACTTACGAGCAGGTTTTTGTTTCTTTTGTTCTGGTAGAAATTTAGCAATGATTGCTTTAAGAAAAAATTCAGAACAATTTTACAACAAAAAATACTAAATTCCTGTTAAATTATTATTTAGTTTCTTTTAATGCTAGACAAATGTAACTAGAGTATGTTTTAAAATTTAGTTCAAAATAAAATATACATCACAATTTTTATGTAAAAACCATGGTACTTTCTGGTTATTTGCATCCATCTACTGAAAAGTCATGATCTCATTGGCGAATAATTTTTTCCAAGATAATGCAGGAAAGGCAAGTTATTTTCAAAATGGAGATGCACTAAGCATTCCATACAAGAGCGATCAGCTAATAAAATTAAAAAAGCAAGGAACACTGAATAGTAAAACACACGCCTTGTTCAAGAAATTTTTCTTTTTTTTTTCCATGTTCTCTTCATGTATATAACAATAAGTTTTCGCTTTAAAAAAAATCAGAATTTCACAAACTCGCTATCGTACATCATCAGTATTGCACATGGTCCAAAACAGATACGGTTGCATACCTGTGTGCTCCATAAATATGTTTGGGCTACGTTTATGTTTTGCCACATAACTATTTTAGTGATGTACTGCTTTGCCATAGGGATACTTTTTCGCAACTTTTCAGTGGGATATGGATAATCAGAAAGTACCAAAACCACTCGACTACTACAAAAAGAATGCACAAAAAAAAAAAAAAAATTCTGAGGGTTTCTGTCTAAAACTGAAGAACTATCATATATATAGTTGCTTGAAGAATTGTTATGTGCATGATTGCTAGGGTTTGGCACACTGTGAAAATTTGGCGTCATGTACTAAGATGGTTGTGCTGATTCATCATTATCTGATATTATGCTTTGTTATTTTACCATATTATTCATTAAATTAGTGTATTGTTATCATAATTATTTATAAATTAAATATAAATCTAATATTCTTTTTTTTTTTTTTTTTTTTTTTCAGGCTGTTACTCAAAGTGTTCCAGTTATAAAATTACCTCGATATATAGACAAACACATGATCAAACTTAAAGAAAAAGAACTTAAAGAACGGAACAGTATCAAAAGAAAAATACTTTATCGTGGTAATACAAGCATCCCTGTTATCTCCAGTACACAGAAGGAATTAAATCATTACTTAGGTCAAATGTATAATGAAAGATACGCATTACCACTACTTTCAAAATACTGGTTCAAAACTAAAACTTCTGGTCAAAAATTTACAATTAGTCCTTGGGAGTCTGTGAGTTTCTTTTATTATATATGTCTTTTTTCAGTTTATCCTGAAATGTGCTCATTTCTAGTATTTAGTAATTAACATTTCTCATAATGCTGGTTTATCAAGAAAATTATATTGATTCAAGTTGCGAAAATTTTATCAGTGAGCATTCAGATTAGCTTATTTAGATGTATTTACATATGTATTTTTATTATAAGGGAATGATAATGAAGAGCTATAAGAAAATGTTTTAATATCAGGCATTAAATGTGCATAATACCATTAACATGTTTGTTTTAGAAAAGCTGCCAATCCAAGGCATTTGAAAAGAGTATTTTTTTTTTAAGTATGTGTTGGTTTTATATTGTTAATTTTTTACCTTAGATATATGATCTTAAAAATAAGATAAAATACTTAGTTTGATATACTGAAACTATGTTCAAATATAAATAAAAGTACAATTCATCTGTGGAAATATCACATTTTTGGTGAGATGCTTTGCAGAGCATTCATAGAAAATAATTGAATGGAACAAAGCCAAAATCAATCAGTACAAAAGTAACTTCAGAGTGCTTGAAACCACCATTAAGCCATGTTTCAACAGAGACCTTTTCAATCTTCCATATATCTGGAGACCTATTTGAAGAAAAACCTTACAGAAATTGGTAAAAGATCATGAACTTGAAGAAGTCATCCATTCCACTGCCAGCTGATGAAGCAGAAGGGTCATCTGTGATCACGCCTTACATTTATTTGATTTATGTTCAAAATGTGGTTCCATTGTGTCAATTTAGAGTATTTTACCTCATTTTTAACTTCATTTTAACTACATGTGCCTGTTAATTTTTAAACATGTTAGATATTTGTTTCTTTTCATAAAAATTGTTTAAATAAATTGTATGTAAATAATCAATATTTTCTGTTTTAGGACAACAAATGCTAAAAAAATTTTCTATAGAAAGATAAGTGTGCAATGTTGCCTACCATCTTGAGGTTATGTGGTTATTTGAAAATGGCAAAACGCGGGTGGGCTCTCTGCTTAAAAAAAAAGGATGACCATTTTCGAGGAATCATATACGTAGGGAATTTTCATATACGTAGGGAAAATAAAGGAAAAGTGTTGTAATAAAAATAATTATTATAGAAGTCTAAAGATATATTCAGGATGCTCTTTTGCATTTTTGATACTTTACTGAAATCTTATAACAATATATTCCGTCATAAACCACTTTTTGTATAATGTTAAGATTACTATTATCACAATAGCCATTCTTTTTACCATTACAAGTAGTTTATTGTAGCTGAAATATATCTGAAATCACTTGTATTCAGATTCATTGAGTAATTATGTTATAGGAAACTTTAGTTCCAACTCAAATTTCCAACCAAGTTTGGGCCAAGAAAATATATATTTATTATGAAGCTTCTAAGTGAAAAACTTTATATCGCATTTCATTAATTAAATATAAATAAAAATAGAATATATATTAGACTGAAAAATCTTCAGTGTCTAAACATCAGAAACATTATTTTTCTATGTTACAGGTTTAAATTTCAAAAGAGTATAACTGTATAGTTGCAGTTTTGATGTTTTCTGGATTTTTACTCTGTATATCTTGATTTGTGATTGTCACTTTGAAGGAAAATGCAGTTTATCATCTGTGAAATGATAATAACTGTGCCATTGATTTTTAAATTTTAACAAAATAGTTGTTTGATACTGTTTTTGTGGTATATAGCAGAAAGCTATCCTATATGAAATTTACATTGTACTGACTTACAATGTACATTCTTATGACAAGTCAAAGATAGGGCATCATTTATTGATGGAAGTTAAAAGCATCATAGTTTCCATTGGCATATACTACATAGCATCAAGCAAACATTTTTCACTAGTGGAATAATATACTTTAGAGACTAGACTAAATATATTCTTTCCATTCAGTTGCTAAACATGCCATGTCTTTTCTATGGGTAAGTCTCAGTAAGCTTATTGCACTGACATGCATGTTTTTGAATACTGATATTTTGGTAAGCGGATGTGCGATCTGAAACTTTGTATAATGAAGGGCATAATGTGAGAAGTACTGGAACATTAAAGGGTGGGTACTGTGCGATAGTAGCGTGTATTCTTTAGCATAATAAGAAGTGAGTGAGTGAGAGATTATGGTGCAAAAACCAAAGATGATCATGGCGTGCCAAACACGTGATGGGATGATTACAATAGATGACATTAAAATTCAATAAATAAAAACAAGTAGAGAAATGTACCAAATCCAGAGGATGAAATCATAAAAACAAGTTAAAAGCACACATTAAAATTTAGGACACAGTCTTCAAAACAAATTACACTAGATAATAAAAGCCAGTCTCTTTTAAATAATAAAATAAATTAATATTGACCTCTCTTCCGATTAAACGGTCGAGAAGTAAGTCACAGCTATTAAAATATTTCTGGACGAAGACTATTAAAAAACTTGGACACTCAATTAAAATATGATGGACAGATAAGACCAAACATTACAATTTAAAACAAACAGGCTCGTTTCTCAGCTTTTGAAAAGATAGTTATGTGTAACTCTAGTGTGGCCAATTCTGAGGCGAGTCAAAAGAACTTCCTCCTTACGATTTTTGGTTAATTCCCAATGCTCAATTTTAGGCTTTACATGTCTTAATTTATTTTGAAGCTGAACATCCCAAAGTTGCTGCCATTTTTTTCGGATCTTGTTTTTCACAACACAACAGATGTCTCCAAAAGGGATGAGACGACTGGACAGTTCAACAGCACATTTGGCTGTGATATCTGCCAGCTCATTCCCTTTTATTCCCACATGCCCGGGAACCCAGCAGTACAGGACTTCATATCCATGACCTGTTAAGTTTATATGTAACTTAAGAATATCCACTATTACTGGATTTTGAGTGTTAGAAAAAAGCTTCTAATGATTTAAGCGCACTATACGAGTCTGTATAAATTATAAACTTTTTGTGGCAGAGCCTTGAGATGTACAAGAGACTATAATATATCGCAGTTAGTTCGGATGTTAAGACAGAGAAATTACGGTGCAAGCGTCTGCCCTCCATGTGATCTTCAATTACAAATGCCATCCCAACATGATCTTTTGACTTGGATCCATCTGTATAGACTGGAAGATAACTGCTATATTTGTGCCTGTGCTCAGCGAACAGTCGTCTGTATACGATCTCGTTAGTGCTTGCCTTCATGTGATGTTTGAAAACATCAAGAAGCTGAATCCGTGAATTTTCCCAAGGTGGGATTTCCCAAGGTGGGAATGTTCCTCAATGATAGGGCGAACTCTTAAAGAAAAGGTAGGAATACAGGATAGACCTGTTTCAAATAATGTATTACACTCATTATCAAGTAAGCATAGCTTATTAGGATGTTCAGGTTGAGATAGAATATTAAAATATTGCAAAAGGGACAATTGCTCACGCCTCAGATAAAGTGATGGTTCGTTAGAGTCAACATATAGGCTCTGGACAGGAGAAGTCCTGAAAGCTCCTGAACAAATCCGCAGAGCTTGATGGTGAACAGGATCCAGTTTTAACAAACAGATGAGCGAGCGGATCCATAAACAACTGAGCCATAATCCAGTCTAGAACGGATAAGCGCTCTATAAATGCGAAGCATGGAACAACGCTCTGCACCCCAGGAAGCATAATAAGAAATAAGATGTGTAATTAACAATATTGTTTCATTATTTATTCTTAGCGAGAAAAGAGACAGTTATTCCAGCAAATACATGTTGCATGTAAGCATTCTTTTGTGTAGTAGAATGTATCTGAGTTGCCAATTATCAGAGACTAAACTTAACAATACTTCTTGTTGCCAGATCTAACAGATTAATATAATAAATGCACAATAACAAAAATGTGATGGGAAAATGCTCCGTCAACGAAACGATAAAGTTACAAGTACAGAACAGGTATATTAGTCTGGATTATTTAAATGATATAGGAATGAGTTAGAGTACAGTGGCAGTGTAATGAGGGAGTAGAGCTTCATAAATGCAATTTGCATTACATCTGTTGTCACTAATCTGTAGCAGTTCATTTTGTAGATTTCATGATAGGATAAGGTAGTATGTGGTACCATCTGTAAATGAGAGATTTAAAATGCCATAGTTTCCACTAGCTAACGTCAAACTGCATATTTTTTAGTTCACAGGCAAGAATTTAAAAAAACTGCATTAAAAAAGGGAACTATTCTTATATACGCCCTCACTTGGCGACAAATTTGGTGAGAGACTCCATGGTGCCATATTACAATCTAAATTTTTTGCCTACATTTTGAATTTTAAACCTAAAATGTCTCCAAAAACGCAGTTTTTGCAAATGCAAAAACCATGTTTTGAACGCACAATTTAAGCTAAAAATCAAAAAAAAAAAAAAAAAAAAACATAAAGTTTCTAACCAAAAATGTTTGACAAGAATCCATGTACAGAGCGATATGTTTTAACTTCGAAAAACATCTATGAATTGCACAATCTAGGCAGCGAATGAATCTACAAACTATATACACCTCACTTTAATGAATTAACATAACAATAAATTTCAATGAATACCATGTACACAGCATCCTGTTTAAACTTTAAAAAAAAATCTGCGAATTGCACAAGCTAGGCTTTACGCAAAAATCAACAAAATAAACTAAAATAACTAAAATTACAAACAATTCAAAAAACAACAATAACAACAGAAATTCATATTAAAAAACAATGAACATAACATTCTATAAAATGAAAACTGTAAAATAAAATTCACTTACCATAATATATTCGTTAATAAAATTTCGCCAGTCACACAACGTTTGTGAACAAAAGTGCCACGATTTTGCTATATCACATCTCTTTCTGCGATTCAAAATTTCAAAACTAACAATAAAAACTTCCTCCAAAATTAACTTACTACACGAAAACCACGATCCAAATCTTAAACAAACTCCGCTGACAGCCACATACTTTACCAAGCAAGCATTTGACTGCAAATCCACACAAGAACTATCAGAAACGTCCTTCTTCGTCCGAGTTCTCATATCAGCTCCGCATTTCGGACTCCATTTTAAAAGTCGAACAGGCATTCCAAAAATACACTTCGATCCTCATAAATACACCCGCGAACAAAAAATTCGTTAACAACTTCAACATTGTACCTTTTAATACTAAATTTACTTTCCACACAATCTAAAATATGCAACTGAAATCTTGCCACCACGTCTATCATTGCAACATAAGCCATTTCAAAACATGTACGACACAGACCAATGGGCAATTAAACCACTGCAGCAAGAGTTAAATTTCAACGTCATGCCAAAAACCAGCGCAGAACATATATCGCCACATTTGGTGATCTTAAGGTGAATATAAGAGCCTAAAAATGCATGCTTTTTAAGTCTTAGCATTGAATACACCATGCCTTTTCTGTGAGCTAGTGGGGCTGCTATGATTTCATTGAAATGTTGAATGTTGCTGAGAGCAAATATTGTGTGAAGGGTTCAAAGATAAAAGCTTTCTTTCTTGTCTGTTTATGAATTATATGATCAGACATGACAGCATGTTTCATGACAAATAGTCTTTGAGTCATTTGAAAGTCCCTGTTTTATAATTTGAAAGTCCCTGTATATTTTCTTGCATAAAGTATCTTATATTTATAATTAAAAATGCTTATAAGTTTTACTATGTCAGGCATCACTTTAATCAGCCAAACAGCTTTTCTATTATTATTATTATTATTATTATTATTTGGGAGGGGGGTTATTAAATTAATTACTTTTAAAAATCTTTCTGATTTTCTGCATTTTTACTTTCTACTTACAGAATCCATCCTTACCTCTGCCTGTGGATGAAGCCAAGAAATTTGACTTGCCTGCATATTTTTCAGATTTTGATTTAGATAGCAATATTTTGCAAAGCCTTAGTACATTAGGTCTTGAAAGGCCAACCCCTTTACAGGTATACATTTTATTTCAGTCTCCTATTCCTGTTATCTGTTTATTTTTAAATTTTAATTTAAGTAATATTTTGTAACCACAGCTTTCTTTTGATCTTTAAAAATGAAATTGTTCTATCAAATTTATTGAATTATTTTCCAGCCCTTTCAGGGGCGGTGGTTTCGCCTTGAAACCGCATTTTCAACATTTTTTTTTAAATTTAGAAAATTTGGTTTCATTTTCTCAAAACCGCTGCTAAAATTAAATTACTTCTTAAAGCTGATAACAGATGGCAGCACTAAACCTTTTTCGGCATCCATTAATTGATACGAATCGTTCAAAAATAGCTTGTTTTTGTCACTATTCTTTTTGGGCTATTTTAAGAACAAAAAACCCAACAATTTTTAATTTTTCCACAATATAATTTATAAGCAGGCATCAATGATTAATGAAATGTCCTTAGTTCACAAAAAAAAGTAATGGAACCCTTTTAATTTTGAATGTTTTCAGTATGAAACCACCGCCCCTCTGAGACATCGAAGAAAGGATCAGATGGCGCAGTCGCGAGATTTTTTACAGCTGTGTTTATTGCTTTCAGATCATTGCTGTAAGCAGTTGCACCATATCTTCATTTGAGTGGCTTCAAAGATGAGGATTTATGGAGCTTTTGAGAGAGGGAAAACATTTCTTAATTTTTACAGAGACACAAAGCACACTGAAGAACACTCACAGTTGCGTTTTTATTCTGCTTCTCTTAGCTGTCGCTTTTCTCATTCTTCTAGTTCATAGTAAAATATTTGTATACATCTAAATTTATTTTATTTCCACATATAATTGTCTTAGTTTTTAACATAATTTTTAAAAATATTTCATAGTTTTATGTAAGTAATTTAGTGCATTATTAGTTACTTTTTGTCTCATATTTTTGCTTCCTGTTTTAAATTTTTTATTTATAATTAAAAATACTTGTTTCTGCAAATATTACTTACTTCATTAGTTGTTCAGTAATTTACTAGTATAATCTGCAATGTGGGTTACATTCAAATACTTTCCAGCAAAGTAAAGATAACTAAGCAAATGCTTAGTCTTAAATGCTCTAGACAGGCACTAATTTCAAGGCAAAACTGGTCCCCTTTCCATAAAGGGGGACAAAAAAAATTTTTTTTACACTCATTTATGTTGTCTGTAGAACCATTACATGTCATTATGCTTACTTTTTCATAACTTTTAAAAAAATCATAACATTGCATCCCTGAAAGGGTTAAGGATAATTTTAAAATACTCAAAAATTTTGTACATAGAAAGCATAAGATATCCATCACTAATATATAATATTCTTCATCTGCCTTTATATTTTGAAATTAAACATAATCTGAAATATATTCATGAAAACATAAGTACCCATGTTTAAATTTTGTCTGACCGTATAAAATCTTGCTCTGGATTATAACAATTTTATTATCCATAAGTCGGCAAGTAAATTTTTTATTTGCTAGCTTACAGGCATTTCCACTCTATTCGATGCTTTATATTTTCAAATACTGATGTAAAATCAAGAAAGGAATTTTGATATTTCAAATTAACCAGAGAATAAGCAATTTTGATGAAATCATTTTATAAAAGTACATGTATTATATATAGGCTCATAGAGCCTAATGTTGCTTATATGGGATTGAATCTTCTGTCCTTAACATCAATTTTACATGGTCTTCTTCACTATAATCCACTAGCTTTTATACATAAGACAGCCTGTGTTTTAAAGAAATATAATTAAGTGTATTCTAAAACATTATTGAAAAGCAGACTTATATATCTCCATTCTGGAAATAAGTTGTGCATGGTAACCCTTGCTTACTTACTAAAAGTTAAGAGAAACTGTTATTAACTCCAAACTGAATAATAATGTATTCGCAAATAACTAATAATGTGTACATACAAAAATTAAGAAAATTTCTTTATAAAGTCAGAAGTTTTGTCTTTAAACCCAGACTGGCAGGTTTCTACAAAAGCATAAAAAAAAAAAAAAAAAAAAAAAAAAAAAAGAAAGAAAGAAAGAAAGAAAGAAAGAAACCTGCATGATAGAAAATACTTTCTGTATAAAAATATATCAGTGGGACAGTAAGTATTGTTTGAATTTACAGTATTGTTTGAATGTAATAATAATGTAAATGTAACTGAAATTGAAATATTTTTTAGCAGTAGAATGAAATGCGTTTTAAAATAAAGGAAGTTTAGATGCACTGTTTATAATATGTATTCAAAAGTTACAAAGCACAATAGTTAAAGATTATGTATGCCAATTCAAATGAAGCCTAATATTTTCTGTGAAGTGGTCTACAGTAAAAAACCAATTTAGCTGTTGTTTTAAAACTTAATTTATGAGGTCATTTAAGTAAAGTGAAGAAAGGTTTTTGTTTATAACTCTTTTGCGAAGTTCGGTAAGTGAGTTTACTGATCATATTGTAGAAATGATCCTATGACGTATGATCTTGTTTGTACATTGATGATATTGCTACATAATTTGGGGTTTTCATATACAGAAAGAAGTTAATAAAAAGTTATACCAAAATGTGACAGATGCAAGCAAGTTGTTAGCACAGTGATGATACCCCCTGCAAGTACTGCTTGCATTATTGTGCAAATAACTTTTCCCCATTTTTCACGTTCTAATATAACTTTTTTATTAATTAATATTTTGGCTCACCACCTCTAGAATTTGATGCAGTAGCACTAAAAGATGTCAAAAAATTGCATTCAAACTTTTTTTCAACAAAAGGATTCTCTAAATGGGAAACTGGCCTTGAATCATGCAAGATAAGTTGTGATTATGCTCAGCTGTGGCTCATTAGCTTCAACAGTATAGCTTATCTGATTAGTGCACTTTGAAAAGTAAACCAATGAAAAATAATTTTTCTTTTTTGTTCATTTGTTTTGTTTTCAAAATGAGTGAGTAAAAAGTACACTATAGAAATATATTGAGATAAGTACTCAGAAGTTGAGTAAATTTATTCTTTTATCATTACTGAGTTGCATATTAATTATAATATATAGTATTTTTTATTTTTAATATATATGTACAATTTTTTATTTATAAAAAATAGTTTAATGAAGTTTCTAAAATTAATAAATAAATTTTAATTATAAAATAGTGTATAATTAACTGAATATTTTAAATGCTTGTATTACTTTTTGCCAATTTTAATGTCACAACCACTTTCTGCCATTAGCAGAATAAGAACTATTTTCTGTCGATAGAAAGCCATAAAATTTATCCTTCATGGCCTTTAAAATTAGAAGGTCATAGAGTGTAAGGTGCTCTGAAACTAAAATCGTTTTTTAAAACTAAGTGGTGTTTTTTATTTTTGACACTTATCTAATCTCTAACTAAATGCAGGGAAAATATTAGAAAAAGAAACTCGCTGTGATTTCATAAAATTCAGTAGCTTATTCTTCTATCTTAATACTCACTGCTTGACAAAATTAAAAGATATTGCATTATATAAGAAAACTACATTTAGGGTTGATGAAGTTTTCTCAAAGTAAGTATGAAATAAATATTAAAAAAAAAAAAAAAAAGGGAAGGGTAAAAAAAAAAAAAAAAATTAAAAAATAATTCTTAAAGATTGAGCATTTTTTTTTAAATGTGCATACATTTGCCAGCTGTATTAGAGTAAGTTTTAAGATTTATTATGCTGAAAAATGATCAAACAAAACAATAAAATAATCTGTTAGTAGGGTGTATGATACTCTAGAGGGTCGTAATCATATCCTCCTCATCTGGACTCTAAATCCCTAAAATGATTTTGTCTTAGAGGTTTTATTGTAGCTGTGTTCACTCATGTTGAAGATAATTTCTCAGTGCAGTAGAACTATGTGTAGCTAATTGATGGTTAGTTTATTTATTCATCACGTCTTAATCATGTTTATTCAAATTAAAATTTTATGTGCAATTTATATATTGGCTAGGCCAACGTACATATTACAGGCTTATCTTTTAGCATATCTACACTGTGAATATACATTATCATCACCCCTTTAAAAAAAAAAAAAAAAAAGAGAGAGAGAGAGAGAAAATTCTGCATCGTATACAGTACAATTTTTCTTAACTCCATTACCCTTAGCTTTCTCTCCTTATCCTTTTTTATAATTATTAACTCTCTATTCATCTCCTTAAATTTTCCCTTAACATCACTTCCTACATTCTATTTTAAGTTCAAAATCCAGATATCCGTTATTCAGAATGATCCAAAATCTAGATCTGTATTTGTCTGTATTTGATGTTTTTTCATAATAAAACATATGAAGAATTTCGATTCTTAATTTCACTTCGGTACTAAATAAAATACCCCATACTAAATAAGAAAATGTATTTATTTGGCTCTGTAGCCGCCATTTTGCATGGCATGCATCTCAAAATTGAAATATTCTGCATTAAAACCTAGTTGATTTTAACCTACTGAATATTTCATATCCCTGACACCAACCTGGCGAATCATTATTTAATATTTTTTTGCATTCATCACTGCATGACTGTGAGTTTATGACAGCTTGAGAAATGATTCATGCAGTAAACTGTCTAAGCATTTTTTTAAACTATTAGTTGCTGAATATTAAAGAGAATCGTAACTTTTTATATTGAGATTACACTTGGTGATGATTACATATTTCAGCTAACTGCACTGCAAAATGTTGAAGAGGAGAAATTTAATGAAAATTTCTTATTTAAAAAAAAAGGTTTTGTAAATGATATTCAAAGGGCAAAAGATTATACAGTCGAAAGTCGTTAATCCGGACTCATCGGGACATCGGCGATTCCGGATTATCGATTTTTCCGGATTATAGATCATCAGTTTAAATATGGTAAGATGGCATGCAGAAATTACAAAATTAAAAATATGAAACCATAATTTATGAAATAAAGAACAATTATGATCTAAAGGGTATCAAAATTTACAAAAAGAAAAAGCTTAATATTTATTTGTTTACTTTATTAAACATTTCATTCAATGTAAGTTGTTTAAG